AGTCACTACCCTATCCTTGTATTTAGGTCTCTGAGTCACTACCCTATCCTTGTATTTAGGTCTCTTAGTCACTACCCTATCCTTGTATTTAGGTCTCTGAGACACTACCCTATCCTTGTATTTAGGTCTCTGAGACACTACCCTATCCTTGTATTTAGGTCTCTGAGACACTACCCTATCCTTGTATTTAGGTCTCTGAGCCACTACCCTATCCTTGTATTTAGGTCTCTGAGACACTACCCTATCCTTGTATTTAGGTCTCTGAGCCACTACCCTATCGATGATCGTGTAAACGGTTTAACCTCGGAGCAGATACAACTCAGAGAAACAGTGTTCAATTTCTGCCAGAAGGAGCTGGCGCCATTTGCAGACCAGTAAGTTAAAAACTAAACTTTTAGTTATATCTTTAAATTGTTCATTTATAAATATATTTCTTTAACGAATTAATTAAACAACATCAGCATAAAACAGGGCCCTGTATTAAACTCTTAATATTGTAGGATTGATTAAGAGAATGATCTCAGCTCAAGGATCAGGGCCCTGTATTAAACCCTAAATATTGTAGGATTAATAAAGAGAATGATTTCAAGGATCAGGGCCCTGTATTAAACCCTAAATATTGTAGAATTAATAAAGAGAATGATTTCAAGGATCAGGGCCCTGTATTAAACCCTAAATATTGTAGAATTGATAAAGAGGATGATTTCAAGGATCGAGCCTCCTTCTGGAGAAAACTTGGAGACATGGGTCTACTTGGTATAACAGCTAGTAGTCAGTATGGAGGTAAACAAACCATTAGTTTTAGTAAATTTTGAGGGAATTTGTTGAATCTAATATTTCCCGCTGTAAGACGATAAAGTTACTTTAGCACTCACCTGCTATTGAAATTTCAAATTTAAAGCTAATATATCCAGTAGTTGGCGATAAAATACAGAGCGTTCCATATCATTTACGCACATAATACTCAAAAACCTGGTATTTTTTTGCAAGAACTTTTATAAAAACCGTTTACATTTTTTAAAAATGGTTCATTGTTTTTAAATTTTCTGACTGGTCCTAAAATCACAATTTTGAGCTATACAAGATCTAATATGATGTGGGACACCATGTACATAAAGTAATTTTATCGGCCTGCTATGAAATTACTTTCATTTAGATCTAGAAAAAGTGCAAATCCCGGAAAATGTCGTCTCCTAAGATAGATAGATAAAAACCTCATATGACGTCACTGATTATAGAGGCGAGACTGACGTCATACTAGGATTTTATCTTTCCATTTTAGGAGACGACATTTTACGAACTTTGGATTGTATAGAGAGTAACCAACCTTATTATACAACCTTGGCTTAACCACATATTTTTCTACAAATTGCCAACTTGGTTTAATTCTTTTTTCAATCAGCTTTTAATTACATTTACTATGGATGTTTTGGATCGGTGCACGATTGATTAAATTATTAGTTCGTTGATTTCTTGATTGATTGATTGATTGATTGATTGATTTGCAGGGAGTGATATGGGCTACCTGGATCACGTGATAGCTATGGAAGAGATAAGCCGAGCTAGTGGTTCTATTGCTCTCAGCTACGGAGCACATTCTAATCTGTGTATCAATCAGGGAGGGGATGAAAGGATGAATGAATGGGGGGGGGGGGGGGCGCAGATATTTGATATTTTTATAACTCTAAACCAAGTTTTCTGGATTTCAGATTAAAACCCTTGTATTTTTTCACTTATTTTTAATTCACACTGACAGGGTTAAATTGTGCAATAACTCGGGAATTTTGTATTCAGATTAATTCAAAAGTTTCATTCCCTCTTTTTGAGTAGATAAACAAGTAAGTTAAAAATAGTGTTTATTTATAACGTTTTACTTCAGGGTTATATCCTACTGAAGGGCTTTTCTCAAAAGACGAACAGTGCAAGCATTGATGGAAATAAAGTAGAAAAATTCTTTTGAATACCTCCCAGAAAGCAGTTAAAAACAGCATCGATTTTACAGAAAATTGTAAAGTTTGATGCCTAAATGTTTGAACTAAAAATATTCATTTGATGAAAACTGGGTTTGAAGTTATTAAACACTACTAATATAAGCATATTGAATGTTATTCATGAGTTAATACAAAGTGTGTATTTTTAGGAATGGAAATGAGGCACAAAAAGAAAAATATTTACCAAAACTTTGTTCCGGGGAACATTTCGGAGCTTTAGCAATGTCGGAGGCCGGCTCAGGTACTTTTTTCCGTTTCGGAGGCATAATCAGGTACTTTTTCTCACATGTCAAGTTAGAGGCATGTACATGTACTTTTTATCGCGTCGGAGGCAGGATTCGATCTGCTTAGATTTATTTTCTCGGAGGCAGGATAAGCACTAATATCATGTCGGAGTCAGGATCTGTTATGCTTAATATTAGCAGGGGCCGGATCATGTACATACAACTTGTCGGAGGCAGGCTCAAGTATTTTACTTCCTATTTCATCATATCCGCTATATTTTATTTCTAGGGAGTAGGTTTCGCTATGCTTATTTTACATGGAAGCTGGAGTTTAAGATCTGAAAACATTAACCCTCATTATTTATCAAAACCTCTGTAAAATCTACGTACATTTTAGGCTCAGATGTTGTAAGCATGAAAACCACTGCGGAAAAGCACAAGGGAACATTTAAACAATACTATGATGAAAAAGTATCTTTAACTTACATTTATTGCGTAGTAATTTTTTTATTATTCTAATATCGACGGTGTGTGTTTAAATTGTTGTGAATGAAGGACTATTATGTACTGAACGGCACTAAGTTCTGGATTACCAACGGACCGTACGCCGACACCCTGGTGGTGTACGCACGAACTAATCCAAACGCAGCTAAGCCTGCCCATGGCATTACAGCTTTTCTTGTAGGAAATTAATCTAAAAATCCAACAAACCCAGCTATAAAAACTCAGAACTAAGATTTTCAATTCATGTTTTTTTACCTGCTTTCCTTGGAAATATTGGGAAGAAATGCAAACGTTTTTTTTTTTACCAAAGACAACCATAAAAAACCTTAAAAAGTCATGGCGTCGAAAGATCTCTAATTGTTATAATGAAAATAATCCTGTTATTCTAATATGGGTTTCTGATTGATATTCTTGAGTAGAGCGAGGAATGGAAGGGTTTAGCTCTAGTCCTAAACTAGATAAACTTGGAATCCGTGGGTCTGGAACCTGTGAACTTGTATTCGAAAACTGTAAGGTAAACTTATAAAAATTGGTTTAATTCTGGCAATTTTCTTTCTTATTTGTAGAAATCTACAAGTTGGTATATAGAAAAGCTACAAATTATCCACCAAAGAAATTTAAACTTTTCATGGCAACTGTTAAAGTTCGATGATGAGACCTGTGTCTGAATTTAATGATTTTGAGCCGCGTCTTCCTCCAAAAAGCGGTTTTAATTGAGCGCCGGCTTAAATCTTGAAGCAATGAATACTATTTCAAGTGAAACCAACCATATTTGAGCTGCGACTTAATTTTATGTCGCGGCTCAAATTCTTTAAATTCGGCCTCTGGATAATGAGTGAAGGTTGATAATTATTTTCATCTTGCAAGCAGGGTGGAAGTAAACAATGAATTATTTCTATTCTTTTTTGATACAGGTTTATATAAACAAAAGAATTCAAATACGTTTTTGTTGTTTATAGGTTCCAGCAGAAAATATACTAGGAGCAGAAAACAGGGGAATATATGTTCTATTCTCTGGGCTGGATCTGGAGAGATTAGTTTTAACTGCCGGACCTTTAGGTAAACATTTTCTTAGGATTAAGAAATAATAATGTCATTTTTAAATTGATAAATTTTAAATTAAGATATTTTTTGTTTCTCTTAAATTGGATTTTTTTCTGAAAAGCTTAAAATTTTATGTGAATAATGAAATTAGGTTACAACAAATTTAAAACACTGCCCGCTTAATTTCTCCTTGATTTTTTGATACTACAGTAAAGATAACATTATTTCAATCAATCTTTTATAAAATTAAGTGGTTTGGGCTAATTTTCTAAGTGGGCAACCCTGAAGCACGTTCATACTCGGAAGTGTACAATATGTTTTAACTTCTATAATATTGCTCTATTCTATTTATCTATATATAAATTTGGCTTGTCTGTCTGTTTGTTTGTATCCAATAAACGTCAAAACGGCTGAACTGATCGGGCCCAAATTTTGTGTGGGACATCACGTGACCACAGGGAAGGTTTATGAATGATAAAAATTAAAAAATGTGTTTTAAAGGTTTTTAATTTTGTAAAAAAAATTAAATTCTTAAAAATCCGCAAAATATTTTTCTTCTTTGTTTTTAAATGTAAACAAAAAGAACATGTTCACAATTTTAATAGAAGATGGGCGCGAAGCGCCCTTAAAGCCTAGTATATATAAATTAGTCATATCTGTTTGTTTGTATGTCCGATCATAACTCATAAAACCCTGCACCAATTTTGATTTGGGAACTCGTTAGAACAACGGGAATGTTCTTAGCTAAGTTCTAAAATTCTAAGTCGAGTGGGATTACTTGTGAAACCAACCATATTTGAGCTGCGACTTAATTTTATGCCGCGGCTCAAATTCTTTAAATTCGGCCTCTGGATAATGAGTGAAGGTTGATAATTATTTTCATCTTGCAAGCAGGGTGGAAGTAAACAATAAATTAGTGAATAATGAAATTAGGTTACAACGAATTTAAAACACTACCAGCTTAATTTCTCCTTGATTTTTTGATAGTACAGTAAAGATAACATTAATTCCATCAATCTTTATAAAATTAAGTGGCATCTTCTATAAAGAAATCATGTTACAACGAATTTTAAACTCTTGTCAGCTGAACTTCTTCTTTAAACTTTTATTAACGAGAAAATTACAATTACAGTATTATGACTAAATATTTAAACGTACAAAAATATAGACGAAAATGCACGAATGTTAGAATTTATGTATGAAATTGCTTATCGCAATTTACTCTATATATAAAGATTTATGAGATCAAAAATAATAAAAACAGCTTTGTTCTGACAAATATAAACTGAAAACTTTTTGACATAAAGAGTCTGCTGCAATCGAAAAATGCAAAAATTACGATCAGAAGCATTATTGAAATGGAAAGTAATCATCTTGGCAATTTAATTTTTTTGATTGAATTAATATTGTACCATTAAATTGATACAAAAAGGAACATGAAAGTTAGTTCGAATTCTTAAATGACTTACGCCAAAACTGAAGATTAGAAGTGTAAACTATCTTTTGACCTGTGTAATATTTTGTTAACTGTTTCAGGAATCATGTAAACAGTTAAGTTAAATATTTAAATATATCCATCTATTCTATATCTATCTATAATATTTCTCTAAAATGTTTCAGGAATCATGCAAGCAGCTTGTGATACAGCTTTTAAGTACGCGCACGAGCGTAAACAGTTCGGGGTTAATATTGGCGAGTTTCAGCTCATACAAGCAAAGGAATAGAAACCATTCAAATATAGTCAAATTATTTCCGGGATAAACATTTTTTATTCCTTTTTTGGTTGGGGTTGTATGGTTTTCTTGACATTGCTATACCTATCAGTTATTCTGAGGGAAGTGATAACATTTTATTTTAAATATTCACTCCTCGGTTTGGCCATTTGCAGAAGTTTTAAATGGTTTGGTTTGGTTTAGATGGCAGATATGTATACAAACCTTAACGCATGCAGGTAAATTGAAGAGTTATCCACTAAATGATGAGACATAAGAGAGTTTTCTGACAGTATTGGTTCCCTGTAACTATTTTGTTCCCTCTACGCAAGTCATTTAGTTGAATCTTTAATGTTAATTTTTTGAGAATAACCCGAGCTGAAAACGTTAGAATTGGATATCCAGATGACTTAATCTAAATATCCACTATGGAAACTTTTGATTTTCTTTTTAATCCGCTCTTTTTGGATATCACATTTCTTGCTACATGTAATAAAGATACGTTTGATTACAGATACAGTATACGATGCTTTATCGATAGAGCTAACATTGAATTTTAGTCAGCTGTTCACAAGCCGGGTTTTAGAGCAATTAAACACTTATAAATTTAATCATGCTTATTAAGAAACATATTTAATCGCATTTGAGGACTGTAGTTCTTTTGAATGTTAGTGTTATAAACATTAATGCAAAACTTGCGTTCGTTCAATCGATCATTAGTCCAATTGATATAACACCACAAATGCGGTAAAATTAAAGCCGACTTTTCAAATCTCTAGAAATTAATCTAAGGACTAGATTGGTCTTGAGATTAGCAAAAAGAGAGGATCAAGCATTGATCTCGATATCAACAATTCAAAAGTTTTCAGCTCTGGTACCATAAGACATATTTAGGCTGGCTGTTCGAAATTGGTCACAAAATAGGTATTGAATATATTCTCTGTCCCTACTTCTTGTCATCGTTAAATACAACAATGTTGCCCAGTGTTAATCTTTGTGAAGAAACAATCTCAAGAACTGACGAAGGTCAACCCAGACCGAAGTATATTTTAAATAAATGTGGAACTAACATCTACTTTTTTAACAAAACAAAAAGATCCCCCTAAAGATGTTGTTGCCATAGGTTTGGTCCATCACCATCACCGAATTTTAAAATTAAGCGGCTACATAAAAAGTCCACCAGCATCATTATGTTATGGGTTTACTAAAATAAAAAAAATCAGCTAGTCATTAGGCATGCTCATGTCTAACATATATGAGCGAAGGGATTTATTTTATAGATAAAGATAATGGATTTATTTTATATTAAAAGGAATTCATCAGAATATGTGCTAGTAAAATGTGTTTTTAAGGACGTACACCTACAGTGTAGCCAGAGCTTGTGATAATGGATACTTCAGCAACAAGGACTGTGCCGGCGTTATTCTGTACGCTGCAGAGAAATGTACTCAGGTAGTCAAAAACAAGAACTGTGTTGGTTTTATTATGTACGCTGATGAGGAATGTACTTAGGTAAACATAAACAAGGACTGTGTCAGTACTATACTCCTATTTCTAGGTTGCTCTCGATGCTGGTATGCAGGTATAGGGAGGGAACGAATATATAAACTATACTCCTGTATCTAGGTTGCTCTGGATACAAGTATACAGATACTGGAAGGAAACGGATATATAAACTATAATCCTGTATGTAGTTTGCTCTGGATATAAGTACACAGATACTGGGAGGGAACGAATATATAAACTATACTCCCATATATAGTTTGCTCTGGATACAAGTATACAGATACTGGAAGGAAACGGATATATAAACTATACTCCTGTATCTAGGTTGCTTGGTTACTAGTATACAGATACTGGAAGGGAACGAATGTATAAACTATACTCCTACTGTATCTAGGTTGCTCTGGATGCCAGTATACAGATACTATGAGGGAACGGATATATAAACTATACTCCTACTGTATCTAGGTTGCTCTAGATACTAGTATACAGATACTGGGAGGGAACAGATACATAAACTATACTCCTACTGTATCTAGATTGCTCTGGATACTAGTATACAGAATACAGATACTGGGAGGGAACGAACGTATAAACAATACTCCTACTGTATCTAGGTTGCTCTGGATACTAGTATACAGATACTGGGAGGGAACGAATGTATAAACTATACTCCTACTGTATCTAGGTTGCTCTGGATGCTATACAGATATTAGGAGGGAACGGATATATAAATGATTATCCAACTGGAAGATATCTCCGAGATGCTAAACTCTACGAGATCGGAGCTGGAACTAGTGAAGTACGCAGGCTGGTTATTGGCCGGGCAATTAACGCTGAGTACAAGTAAATCAAGGTAAAATTTGGCAAACAAATGTTTTACTCATTATCTTTACGTTAATTAAAAAAATGGAATTTTTTTTTCAAATTATATTTTTAAAGTAAATTTTCTTTGTTAAAAAATACATAAAATAAAGTCCAGTTATAATATATAATTAATTTTTCGTTGTTTTGTTTCAGGTTTTTGACGGAACCGGTGACACGATCATCTGTATACTTTTTGTGTCAGAATTAAAGTTCGAAGCATAGAAATTAAATTAAAGTATGAAATCTTTTGAAACTAAAAATGAGAAACACTGTTTCTAGTATTTTCATTATTTTCTTACAAATGTTAATTTGATGAAGTAGAAGTAAATAATAGTTATTTTAAATCTTGGTGCTGTTAATTATTATATTATCTAATTGTTATTTTTATCGTAAACGTATATCTCTAGTCTCAAAATCAAAAATTAATTGTATAAAATTATTTATTTTAAAACAATAATAGAAAGTTCTATTGTCAACATTGTAGCTCTCTAAAACAAATCAAATCTAAATTTTCGATTTTGATGTAGAATTTAATCCTAATCTCATATTAAATGTTTTCTCAATACTCGTGTAGTAACCTGTTCACCTGTTAGTGTCAAAATCTAAATAAATGAAGCTGAAAAGTTAAAAGAAAATCTTAAAACATATTCTTAATGTTGTAAACATGGTCTCAGCTTGTATAGCGGACAAAGTATAGGTTAAACTGTAATAAGTTATATGTACAATTTACATTGAACAAATGAACATGAGGAAATATGTAAAATGAAATCGAATCTTTACTGAAGAAGTGTTTCTTTTAATCGTTTATTTCAGATAAGATGTTTAAAATGTTACAATCTTACGGAATCCATAAAGTGTACAGTGTATTACATAGAGTACAGTTATGAAAACTGAAGTACATTGTTTTCTAAAAAAGGTAAGTTCAAACCTGGGGTGTACATTTTCTCGAAAAATCAATTTTCTTCCGGTCCTCCCCCTCCCACCCTTTTTGAAAATTATTTAGTTTTTAGGGTTTATTCAATTGGGAAAACAATTGATTTTTAAAGGAAAATAAATGAATTTTTGGCCTAAAAGTATCAAAAAGTTGCCTTTGGATGTTCAACTTTTCGTTCATATTCATAAATTATCAAATATCATTTCCTGCCAGGGTCGGGGGAGGGGGTAATTCTGAAAAATATACACCCCTATTTCTAACGTGATGGTAAACTTTATTACCCCGAAACCCGAAACGTTTTCAACGTTTGATTTCAGTTTTGCATCTTGGGAGAAAAGAACATTGATTTGATTGTATGTATAAAGCTGTTGGAATGCAATACTTTTCATCAAATTCTTGAATCTAAAAACCAGAGCTTAGGATTCATTAAATTTTGATGCACTGAAAAAAATGGATCCGGATCCAAATAATCACTTTTTTTTTCAACAGTTCAGTTTTGAGAGCAAAAAATGTTATTTTTGGTTGATACTTTGCCCCTTGGATCCGCATATTTTTTGCGGATCCGGATCCTGGAAATCAAAATCTTGCGGATCCAAGGTTACTAGTTACATAACTCACTTTTTCCCAAATTAATCCTTTTTACCCTTTAGATTTCTTTAGAAAATAAAATTTAAAGAATACAAATTTTGAAATCATTGAATTATTAAGATGAAAATAAGGCCATTTTTATTATGATTCCTTGCAACAAAATTTCAAAAATGCTTTTCTGAATTTTATTAGTTTGTACTTGAAACAATATTTTTATTATTTTTATTACTTTGTTATTGAAGATAAGAATAACGGAATCTGTTTATTTCATGTCAAACAAATATTTAATTTTTTAATCTAAATTGTTTTAGATTATGCTATTTACGAACATCATATCTATATATATATATACTTTCCTTGTCTGGGTGTTTGTATCAAATAAACCTGAAAACGGTTAAACAAATCGGACCAAAATTTTGTGTGGGACCTCTTATGAACCCTCATGAACCCAGGGAAGGTTTATGGATGATCAAAATTTCTAAAATTAGCCTCAAATCAAAAGTCGATTTTCATCAACTTTTGAAAATCCAGATTAAATCTGCGAACTTTTTGTTGTTGTTATACAATAAATAAATACACGAGAAAATGTTCACAATTGAAGCAAAAGATGGGCGCGAAGCGCACTATAAGCCTAGTATCATATATTTGATTTTGATATTATTATAATTATCATAGAGAATAATTAAACAGAAGAGAATTAACCTCTACTCTTGTCTTTGATATATTGAGAAGAAATCACGTCTCATCCTTAACATAAAGAGATATTTGTAAGAATCTGATTTAAAAAGGACAATTTAAAGTAAAAAACCTCTTTTCTTAAAACAATATGATAAAGTATCTTCAGTGATATTTCAAGTTTCGAAAACAAAATTTAGATAATTTCGTGATAAAAAAGCACCAATTTTTTGCTTCTGATAAAAAAAATTCTCCGGATTATTAAACTTCCGGTTATTTCCTAGTATACGATTTTTTGACTCCCCCCCCCGGCCCCCCACCATATTCTAGCCGCAGCGCTCGGTCCAGAAAGCGTCTTAACCTAACCTGACTTTAAAGATATTAATTTTGTTGCAATTGAAGGTCTGACACTCGAAAGCTTTGTCTGATTAAGTAAGAATTAGATATCCAGTGGCCGAATTGAAAGAATTTGAGCGGCGGGTTTAAATTTAAATATTATTTATATAGAAGAATGAATAGGTTCCACTTAAAATTGTATCAAATGTTTCAAGATTTAAGCCGGCGCTTAATTTAAACCGGGTTTCGGTTAAACCACGGCTCAAATTCTTTAAATTCCATCTCATGTTTTTTTCAATTGCGAAAGTTCTCTGCGAAAGTGACATGCGCATTTCTTGCTTACAAGAAGCAATGGAGAAACCAAGAAATTATCAGAATTATACACTTGTCGAGTTAGGACAATGACGGTTTGCCATCTTTTTATGAAGAGTCACTTGAAATTACGCTTGCAGTCCCTTTAAACAAAAATAATGTTTACTGCACTGTTTATTGTGTAAATGAGCTTAATGAGAAAAGTTGATTACCTCTCCTTGAAGCTTTGTTATGATAGCATCTTGTTTTCTTATTATTGTTTCAAAATCCTGAAGAAAGTTTAGTAATCAAAGTATAGTTTGAGGAAAGAAGAATAATCATCGTTAAAGTAAGATAATGATAGGAACAGACTATTTGAGGTTGAGAGGATAATTGTCAAGGAATGTATTGTGAAGGAAGAAAGGATAATTGTCAAGGAATGTATTGTAAAGGGAGAAAGGATAATTACCAAGGAATGTATTATGAAGGGAGAGAGGATAATTACCAAGGAAGGTAATGCGAGGATTAGGGGATATTTTCAAGGACGGTAATGTGAAGAAGAAAGGCAATGTGAGGAAAAAAGACTAATTGTCAAGGAAAGTCATATGAGGAAGAAAGAATATTGTCAAGATTTAATGTGAGGAAGAAAGTATAAGTCTCCAGGGAAGATAGATAACGTGAGGAAGATAGTATAAGTCTTCAAGGAAGATAGATAATGCGAGGAAGATATTATAAGTCTCCAAGGAAGATAATGTGAGAATGAGAGGATAATTGCCGAGGAAGGTAAGTTGAGGAAGAAGGATAATTGTCGAGGAAGGTTATTTGAGAAAGAAGGATAATTGCCGAAGAAGGTTATTTGAGGAAGAAGGATAATTGCCGAGGAAGGATATTTGAGGAAGAAGGATAATTGCCGAGGAAGGATATTTGAGGAAGAAGGATAATTGCCGAGGAAGGATATTTGAGGAAGAAGGATAATTGCCGAGGAAGGATATTTGAGGAAGAAGGATAATTGCCGAGGAAGGATATTTGAGGAAGAAGGATAATTGCTGATGAAGGTAATGTGAGGAGTAAAGGATGAATGTCAAGGAAGGTAATGTGAGGAGTAAAGGATGAATGTCAAGGAAGGTAATGTGAGGAGTAAAGGATGAATGTCAAGGAAGGTAATGTGAGGAGTAAAGGATGAATGTCAAGGAAGGTAATGTGAGGAGTAAAGGATGAATGTCAAGGAAGGTAATGTGAGGAGTAAAGGATGAATGTCAAGGAAGGTAATGTGAGGAGTAAAGGATGAATGTCAAGGAAGATAATGTGAGGAGTAAAGGATGAATGTCAAGGAAAGTAATGTTAGGAGTAAAGGATGAATGTCAAGGAAGATAATGTGCGGATGAAATGAAAGTATACTCCAAAAAATTATAAATTATTGTTTTCACCTTCATTTTATCCTGAAATTCTTCTTGTTGATTGTGAAGCATTTCTTCCAGCTCTCTTATCCTGTCCCCATGATAGTCTCCTGAATCGTTGTTATCGTTAAAATTAAATATTTATTTACAATTCTGGCTTTATGATTTTCCAACCCCCCTCCTTCCTCCGCCCAAATGAATTTTTGTAGGAATTCCTTAGAAGAGGAAAATTTTCAGTTAAATGGTTTGGAGTTGGCTAAATATATTGAGAAGAAAATGATGAGTAGGGTTTACCGTTGATATGGTTTCCACCGTTCATTGTGTTGAGTCCGTTCAAGGAAATAGATTTGTTTAGATTTCCTCGGGATCTAACAGGAGTTTTAGTTGGAGAGATGATAGATAGAGCTGACCCAGGTCTAGATTAATAAATATATATACACTATACAGGGTGCATTCTTTTATATTTGCTAACTTGGGAACCCAGCTTTGCGAGGAAATTGAACTTTTTCTTATAAATTAAACTCGTACAAGTTTTTAAACCAATCAAACGTTGAGGCAAATCGGTCCAGAGGTTTCTGACTTATAATCGGACAAACAAACAAACTGACCAACAGATATTACAACTTTATATAGATTATGTATAGATTTTATTTTTCTTTTCTCTTTTGGTCATTTTAAAACAACCCTTGTAAGCACACCCTCTAAGTTTAGGCCACACATAAAACATAAATACTTTAAAGCATATTTATGGGAGCACAGCGATAAGAAGAAGTATGAGAACTTAACATCTGAAAGGGGATCCTATGGGGAACCCCCAAACAAACTTCTTTGAGAGGTGTAGACATAATTTCTGTAGACCTTTCTATTTTAGAGTCTAATTCACAACGGTAACCTTTAAACCTTTGACTAATAGAGTTATCCTTCTTTCTATCTTCAAATATTTTTAATTGCGATCCTCAGAATTTTGTCAGAATTTAAAACTTTTCATTGTTTTAAAGATTAAGTGTTAAATGGTACCGTTGTTAGTTGGAAATATCTCTTGATAAATGGAGGGTCATTTAAAATTTGGTCTACAAACCCTTTGTTATAAAAAATACTTAATTTCCTCTTGTCATTGTTGATATTTTTCTAATTAACTTTTTGTTTAATTCCCTGAGGTTGAAAATACAAAAGTTTTACTGCCCCCAGACTTGGTTAAGTTAAATTAGATCAAAAGTTTCTAGACGTACATAAAGAAGTAAAATTAACTCAAGACTTCTGTACTTTCACAATAGTTAATGGGTTATTGTACTTGAAATTGTACAAGGATAAAGTTTAGTTTAACAAAAAATAGATTTTAAAAAACCTAAAATTCTTATCTTAGATTATTCTCACTGTATTTCACAGGGTTATTTTATTTTATTGAATTCTGAAACTAAATTAAGTATTGTCCTTTTGAAAAAAAGAGAAGGACGTTTATTAATTATTTAAATTATGATAATTCATATTTGTTAAAGTATTAAATTATATTTATTATTCATATATTCTAAAAAAAGGTCATATATATTTATGCCTTGGTTATATGAATAATTTTATTCTGAATTTGTTGACAAATTATGGATCTATATGCAAATTATTTTGGTTTTATGTTTTGATAATTTAACATTCGGGCATTGCTTTTAATGTTTAACATTGTTTTGCAATGGTCAAAACTTTAAGAGGGTCGAGGAACCGTTAAGTTGAATAATTAGAACCTGTCATCCATAACAGAGCCAGGTCTACTCATAATCATTGATGCTATACTCATTGCTAGAGGATCTTCTAGCTGAGACTGCTGTACAACCTTAATCACAGTTATTGCTTGTTAAATTTATTTTATGGAGGGGGGGGGCATCTAATTCATAAATATTCTTAAAATTAACATTTCTGTTAAATATACAGAGAATAAGCAAGATATTCTACTATGGAGTCCTTAAGTTGAACCAAAAAGTTAAACCTTTTACAAGGAGCATATTCTTGTAATAATGTATTATCAGAAAAAATGTTAAAAAATTGTTATTTAATATTTTACAAACTATTAAAAACAGAAAGTAATATCAAAATTGTAAATGTAAACATAGAAAAGAATTGTGTCTTTGCCACAGACTTAATTTGTCTAATCCTTTTATCTTTGTAACATACTCAGATTATTTGAATTAACAGAATTCATAGCCTACAAATGGCAGATTTATTGGGATTAGAAAATGGGAGTTTGTGGCAAAGACTCAATTCCTTTATATTGTCATCTAAGATTCTAAAAAGTAAGAAATTGTGTCAGATATTCAATCAAAAAGTACGTCCTAATGCTTGTTAAAGTTTAGCCTGAATATAAGCCCGGGGTTTTACCATTTACGAGGAGGACTCATTTGTAAAAACTATTGGAGACATTTTTGAGGTTGGGGGATTATAATAAAGGATTTTTTTTCCACAAATTTAGATTTTCTAATTCTATATCTATGCATCCTTCTGTAATAAACCTTTTTAAATTTAATTTTAAACTATTAATTCTGTTAGATCAACGAGTTTTAAGATTGAAATATAAGGTTGCAAAGATAAGCAAATATATTTGTGGCAAAAACTCAGTTTCTTTGACTTACTTTTCCTTGTAGATCATTCCAGACAAAGATTCTATTGTTTACATACAGCTTATCATGCTGAATAAAGCAGGCAGCAGAGGGGTCACCTCGTTTCACCTCAAAAGAATGTTCACTTATTTTAAAAGACATAGAATGCGAATGTTCATACTTTCTACAATGTAAAAATACATCTAGTTTTTGACAAAAAATTTAAGTAATCTGGAGATTTTAGGAAACTCGTAAAATTAAAACGCTTTGTTTTCTGGGAAAAACCATTTTGGTTATTTTGGCAGAAAGTATTTATTTATGATTCTTTCTTTTAAAACAGTATTTCATGTTCAGTGTTGATAAGTAGCTGAAAAATGTTTTTTAAGCAGAAAGACTTTGGGGGGTTTAAAGAATTTCATAAGCTTAATTTTTTTAACTTAACCAATTAGCCAATGAATAATTTTCAGGTCATTTATTTGATTTGTAAATATGGTTTCGTGCATCAGAATATAAAGTTTAGTGCTGGTCTTAATAAAAAGCAATAATCAGTTGCAATAATTTGGCCTGAATTTTATATTTTCAAATGCAGTATTGTAGAAATTATATTATTATAGGAGAGGGGGGGGGGTACCTTTCTCATATATTTCCGAAGCTCTGTCCTGCTTTCTCTCGTCCTTTTACTCAAGTCCTCCCTTAAAGTATTTTTGACCAGTGCCGAGAATTTTTTAACAATTGTAAGACCGTTGACCCTACATTTTTTTGCTCTAGCATTGTTAAGTATTTAAAGGATTTCTTGTAATAAATAATTATTTTGTTCTTTATGCATAGGATAAAGGTTGATTGAAGGAAGGTCGATGTTTCAAAAAATTTACTTGAGCTAAAGATCTTAAATTTTGTTGAAAAGCCCTTGAAAACTAGCTACAAAATCATGATAATATGTGTTGAAAACTTCTTTTTTTTTCGCACATTTTTCTAGCACCCTATTCATTGACGTTTATTTAAATCAGTTTTCTTATTCTGAGCTGGCCTGGAAAAATTGGACTGTGAACATTGAATAATGATCAACGAAAATGTATTGCACCTTCACACCTTAACTCTAGGAGGGGAGGGAGCGTACCGACCCCCCACCCCCAGTTTTGACCGATCTATATGATATAGCTTTTTGTAAATATATAAATGTCAGCTATAGCTGGCTAAACAGCTGGACCAAATTGACTGACATATTTTTTAGTTAACCCATGGTTACGGCTACCCTGTGCGTAACATTTTAACAGAATTTTTTTTTCAAAATTCGAAATTGTTCTTAAACTTAAAAGTTTTTTCTCCAAAATTAAATATTTTTTTCCACGGACAACGCCGGGCACTTTAGCTAGTTATTTATAAAGTTTTATTCCTGACCAGATGTTAAGAATTCCTGATAGTCATAGTCTGATAAATATATAGTTCTAAGTTTAAATATTTCAACAGGTCTTTAGATATGAATCTGTTTACTCATTGACATTATTGTCTGTGTTGGTTCTATATCGAAGATACATGTCTTGTCTCAAAACCATACACATATCACACCTGTATTTATGGGGGGAGAGGGGGGGGGGGTGATTGAATATCTATAAGGGAAGTAGAATAGATAGTTTAAAGCACATAAATTTCATAGTTCAGTTTCCTATAAGAAATATACATTTTTTAAAAGTCCTTACCATTTTAAATATGAACAAAAGTTAGAGGTTGTACTTTAATAAACAAAAGCACTTTAGAAAGGGGTTGCAAATAACTGCCTGGGTCTAAATAGAGATGTGTTTGGCATTAGTAAAAAAGTTATTATGTGTAAACATTTTGAATTATACTTCAGCTTTTTACAAAAATTAGTTTTTTACTTCATAATTTTGCTGTAAAATGGGATTTCAGTGAGAGTTAACTATTTTGGTTGTTACTTATAATTATAAATATTCATAAACTTTATTAATTAAATATTAATTTTTATATTACCCTAAATGAATACTAGATCCTTTCAACATGTTTCCTTTCCTGAACACCTCCTCACGGTCCTAAGACAGGGGTACATCATTTCTCTTAAAATCATTCCCTCTCCCCTCTCATCCCTCCACAAAGATCTTTCAATTCTTTCATGTTTGCAATCAAGAGGTTTTATCCCTGAATGTATAAAGGGGAAAGCCCTGGAAAGAAATTCAATGCTAATTTGGGAATAATAATTATCAGAAAATATAATAGTTTTTAAGATAGATAAAAAATGTAGTGTCAAATTAATATATGACCTACCTTGAACTGTTCAAAAGTTACTAAGACTGGCCTGGAACCAGAAACTTCTGGTCCTAAGGAATTTTGCATCGTATTAGCTTAAATTTTGAGAGTGAGAAAGACATTACAGAAAGTTACTAAATATCAAAATCTGAAATTATTTATGTGTAATGGCTTAGAATTGAGCCAAAAATGATTATTACTACTCAAGAAGTGATACTACAACTCACTAAAGCTTTTTTACTGTAAATGATGTAAATAGCCCTGTAAATTATATATTAAGCCCACCTGTATACATTCTGGACACCTTGGTTACTGGGATATCTCTTCGTATACCCAGGGTTATTCGTAAAGTATTTTGAATTTTGGTCAGTAATATCTCAGGAGTTTCCCTGAGAAAGATATATTATTTGATTACTTCTGTAGGGTAATAAGAAAATTAACACTGCATATTGTGAATGTGTAAATTTGTTGTTCAAAAACAATTCTCAATTTCTATTTATTTTGAAACCACTTCTTGTTGATTTTAAAAACTAAAATATCTCTTCATGTTTATCTGACCTGGAATCGTTTGTTATTCCATAAAAGATGAGGTTGTTCTTTTTATTTTGTTCAAACTCGTAAAGTTTTTCCTGCAGTTCATTGATTCCTGGAGTAAATTCTAGTTGCACAAATTCAGTGCACAATAACAAATGTAGATAATTTTCAAATAAAACTCTTTTTACCTTGATCCAATATTTCAACCTTTTCTTTTATTCCGTTAATGTCAAAATCTAGTTCCGCTCTGTAGGATTGTGCATTTTGGGCTTCAGCTGTCATTGTCTGTTGGAATGCTAAATATGGATAAAAAAGGTTAAAAGGTTAGGAAACATGAAAATTAACACCGTTTTCCATAAAGCTCACCATTTTGAATTTTTTCATTCATGGATTAGTTTATTTATAAGAAAAGCATATTATCAGTAGACCTAGGTATCTCTCTCCATTGCTAGATGGTGAAAGATGTTTATGTGGAGACCTTACCCAGCCGTAATAATAATATTTTCTTTTTTAATTCAAGACCAAAAAACCTTTCATTAGATGGTAATAACATTTACCAAGATTAACCTAAGAACTTTTTTTTCAGGTTTTGAATTAAGGTTGGACATTTAAATCGTCGGCTTTTGCCGATCAATGCCCGGGCAATCATCATATTTAATTTATATGGAATATACTTGTATCAGGATTGAATTGTTGAGACTTAGCAGTCAAAGTAGATTTGGATTTTGAAATAACCTGAGTTAGTTTCCTTGAGTTTATCTTGAATTGTCATCCCAACATTATCCAAAACTTCGTCAATCTTACTGTTCAGACTTTCCAACTCATCCTGATAAATTATTTTGTTCAAAATATGTTTTTACAAATTTTCTTATTTTACCTTGAATTCTGAAAAGTATTGATCTGTTCTATGATCAGATTCTTCTTGCTGTCGGGTAACTTGACTAAATTTTTCTGATGTGTCCTGATGAAGAGTATTTTAACAACAAAACTGGATTTTAAAACCTCAAGATGACAATTTATGGTTTAAAAAATGCTTCTATCACATAATAAAGGACATTTAAAGATTTATCTGCTTTTTATTGTGATTTAAAAAGTCGCAAGCTATGAAAGAAGCAAAATTTGTATTTTAAAACCTTCCCTGGATTTGGGCCTCTAGTTTTTCCTCCAGTAAGGATTGAGTTTGGTCCAGTTTCTCCTGTAGTTCTTTAATCTGATCTGTTAGAGCAGAACATTCTTCCACTTTGATACCTTGTATCTTCTCCTGAAGAGCCTCTAATCCTTCATCCAACATCTTCCTGATTTATATCAAATAATAGATTTACCTTGAATACTAAACATCCTAGATTCCAGAACCTTATGTTGAATATTTGTTTATAAATCAGACTATGTATCAAATTATCATTATTATTATTATTATTATTATTAATCTCTCATGATTCAAACCTGGAATCTTCTGCAGCACTTTCTAAGGATTGTACAGAAGTCTGTAGTTCTTCTACTTTATTCTTGTTTTCTTGGAAAGTTCCCATTTGCTCTTGCACCTCACAATTACACAGCATTAATATATAGCGTTTGGCTTAAACCGTTTTGAAATTTAAACATTTTTCTCATTTTGGTTCAGGTTCTCAGACCATATACAGTAGCGAAATAAATTGTTATTGATTTCTAATTCTGTTTATACTGCAAAAAGATTATTGTCAGCGTACAAAGTTATTTCCACCTGTGTCTGCATGTCTTGCCATTTAATTTCCCATTCCTCTTGTGTCTTGGCCTGACTCTCTTTACTCTCTTCAACCTGGGTATTCTGTGCATCCTTCAGTTCTTGTAGTCTTTTTTCTGTTTCTGCTTGCAATTCTCTTAAAACAAATATAATTATAGGATGCATTTTATTTTAATGCGGATCTTGATCCTGGATGCGCCTAAAAAAATAGGTTTAGGGTCGGGTCATGAAAATTTCTTTTAAGATTTACTGATTTATTTTCTCAAAATAAGAAATTTATATCAATTTTTCTTCTTTAATATAATAACCTTTCTTTTTAGAAGGGTTAAGGTTTGTGTTTTAAGAAAATAAAATATTTTTACAGCTTTTGGTTGATATCTGGATCCGGATCTGTGGATTGAGAAATGGAATATGTTGTGGATTCAAGGGATTCAGATCCGGATGCTAAGCACTCTCAGAAGTATCAGTGCACTAGCGTGGATTTTGTAGTGGGTTCCCTTTCAGCTTTTACTTAATTAAACTTGCAGACATATTTAAAGATCTGCTTGAAGTGAACTTTCTCTAAAATGTAAAAATGGTTCTGAGAAAATAGTTCTGTAGATATCTTTTACAGCATTTATTCTAAATTTGTTGAATTATTCTTACATTGCATTCCTAAACAGACATTGGTAGTGCAGTATATTTATCCAGAAAACTTAGTTAATCAGGGGTAAAAAGTTCAAGGTTATGCTTAAACTTTTCCCTAACTTAGTTGTCATTTACCTGAGGGCATTACTCTGGTTTTCCTTCAAGTCTGTCCACAGTTTCTCCTGTTCTTCTTGGTAAATCCTTAATTTGTATTAAACTATATTTTTGGAAAGAACCTTTGTAGGGGTTCTTATAAGTTCAGTTACTCAAAATTCATATCCACAATATTTTACCATATTTAATTTTACAGTTTTTCTATTTAAGGAGGGAAATGTAAAAAAAGGAAGAATTTGAATCTGGAGTTTTATAAATGAAGTTAAAAATTCAATAGATTAGTATTCACTTATTTTGTTGAGTTGGTCCCTGAATCCTTTAATATTATTACAGGGGCCTGTATAATTTTAAGGAATACATTCCAGGTGATGAAGGGTGGGGGGGAGGAAAAAAAATTTATTATAAGGAATTTTTTTCCTCATCCGTCGAAACAATTTCTGCTGAAAAATTGAATTTCCCAAGAAGGAGGGTAATTAGTTTTAAAGGAAATATACACCCCTGTACTATTATACAGCATACGAACACAGTTTCTTGGATTAAATACTTAAACTACGTTAAATAAAACTACTTAGCCTTTGAACAAAACATATCTACTAGTCTACAACTGCAGTGAAGATTTTATTTTACAGTTTTAAACTTCTACACATTCAAATTGTTTGATCTCTGATCAAACATCACAAACAAAAAGTAGCATATATATATATTAGAAAATGGGGGTTACTCTTTCTTAGGTTCAACCTACCTAAATTTTTCCTCGAATTTGCTTAATGTGTCTTCAACACTTGGTCCTTTAGGTTTTTTCGACATAGCTGTCTGATTTCGCAATGTTAAAGCACCTAATTTTTGTTACACTTGTACTGAGTGTAAATATAAAATAAAAATTGTTCAATTTCCTGCCAAAATACACTATCTCTTGAAATCATTATTTAAAATGAATTTGGTTTGAATATGCACAAAGGAAATTTCCTGTAGTGAATTACACGAAACAGAAATTGCAAAGCCTTATTTCTTACTATCTGAAGTTAGACTCAATAAAGCAAAACATCACAGATCAATTTCTTATTTTCTGTATTAAACTTTTCTACAAGTACTAATGTTATATTTTCAAAAAAACATTAATTTTATTATTGTTAAATGATTACACAATTAATAATTGATTAGGGAATTATGTAAGAAAATAATTAAAAATGTGATGTCTGGTGACATTTCATTTAGAAAGGGGTTCACGACAATCCAATCTTTATCTGATCAATAATGTGCAAGATATTGTCGTTTTTCTAACATGCAAAGCGTTTAATTAGGACATTTTATCCCAATTTTTTTATCAGAAATGAGCAAGACATTTTAAAACATTTTAAAACATTTTAAACATTTTAAAACATTTTAAAACAACGAATGATGGATACTTCATAAATTCTTAATCAGAAAAAGTTGTTAAGTTGTTCCCCCTAAATAGGAATAATAACTTGTTTGTTGACTGCTTCAAGGCGGAACACTAGAGCATGCAAAGAAACCAAGGGGGAATTTCAGACACATTTTCAGGGTTCAATATTCTCTTCAAGTTAATCGGAATTTGAACTTTTAATACTTATTTGGCAAAACTTCCAAAAAAAGTGAAAATGATAATTTTACAAAAATAAAATAAACTTTTTATCTGTTTGCAAAGTTGGTAGTAGTTTTTTTCAAATTAAAAGTTGTCCTATCAAATCACAAATTTCAAATCATTATTTAAACTCAGAATTTAGATATAAAAGGGTATTGAAAGGCTCTGTAAGTGTAAATTCAAGTGACTCTCAATGCAAAGATGACAATGCCCGATTTAAAAAAAAAAAAAATTTTTTCAGAGTATTGGGGTTGGAAGAAGATCTGAGAGAAGCTAAGGATATGTGATGTCTTGGAATCCTAGAGGAGTTCCCTTAAGGGGGCCTCCAGGGCCACGATTTCCCTTGAGGGGAAGAAGGTGGCTAGGGGTTGAATCATCTGAAAATAGGACTCCTGGAAATAATGATTTTCCAACCGGGCTGAGAATCCCGAAACATTAAACTCTGGACAAGGTTCCAATGCTGACAGCTTGATTTCTCTTATATCACACCTGAACCATCGAAACCAACGGTTGGTAGAAAAAGAAAACGGCAAACATATATGTTTTCCAAAGGTTTTCAGGTCTTTTAACCTGGTTGATTATAGCTCCAGACATATTTGGTTATTCTTCAATTTCTTTCTTATTTGTTACTTTGTTAATATGGTTAAGAAATTTAATAATTTAAATGTTAATATAATTGTTTAAAAAATGAATTTTTAATGATTGTTATCACTTTTTGGTTGTATGTATTGTACAAAGATAAAATGTACCTACATGAACGGGTTCATTATTGACATGATTTGGTTATTCTAATTATTTTTCCAATTATTTGAAATTTAGGGTGTCTAATGTCTATAAAAGTCTTAACTAAGATTCGATTTGATTTCGCGGTTACATTTGGAAAACCACGGACAATCAAGAATTTCAGTCGAAAAATGACTAATGTTATGCAATTGTTTCTGAAACGTTGTGAATGTTGTTTCTGAAACGTTGTGAATGGTTTATGGCACTTTATTAATATGGTCCCTTTAGACTATGTTGGCAATTCCTTTTATTAAAAGGAAAAACGTAAAACTTTTGGCAGAAAATGGTGACTATTCATAGATAATCTTATTATTGGCTTCAATCAATTGGTTTCTTTAATAATAAAGCAAAATATTAATTATTCTTTCTTTACTAATATTTGATCATTAAAATCATTTTTATGCAATTGCAAATATTAAAATGTAGAATATCTATTGGTTCATAACAAAAAATTTTAAATTTTTTATTTTTTGCAACGTAAACTGTGTTTCCTCAAACAAATTTATTTGAAACAGTTGTACGTTGAACTGGTATGGGAATTAGCACCTGAACTGAGACCCTTACGTTTCGCAAACTGATATTTTCTTAAACAAATGTATTTTAAAACAGTACGTTTCGCTAACTGGTGTTTTCTTAAACAAATGTATTTTAAAACAGTAATACGTTATATTAATATTTTCGTTAACAAATGTAATTCAAAAACAGTAAAATATGTATCATGTTTTTTTTAAAACGGTGAACAGTTGTACGTTATGCAAGCTGATATTCCCATAGACAAGAGTATTTTAAAACAGTTGTACGTTATGTAAACCGATGGTTTCTCAAACAAATGTAATTTAAAACAGTGTAGGTTTAGTAAACTGATCTTTCCTGAAGCTTGGATGTATTTTAAAACAGTTTACGTCTTTGAAACAGTTACGTTTCGTAAACTAATATTTTCATTAACAAATGTATTTGAAAACAATTTTACGTCGCGTAAACTGATATTTTTTAACAGATGTATTTTAAAACAGTTGTACGTTGCGTGAGCTGATATTTTTTATAACAAATGTATTTTAAAACAATTTTACGTCGCGTAAACTGATATTTTTTAACAGATGTATTTTAAAACAGTTGTACTTTGCAAAAACGGGTGTTTTTAAACAAATGTATTTTAAAACATTTACATTTCCTAAACTGATGTTTTTCTAAGCAAATGTATTTTTAAAAAAATTGAATGTTGTGTAAACTAATATTTCCATAACCTAATATATTTTTTAACAGTTGTATTTAAGTAAACTAATATTTCCATAATCTAATGTATTTTATAACAGTTGTATGTTGTGTAAACTAATATTTCCATAAAAAAAATTATTTTGAAAAGTTGTAATTTAAGTAAACTAATGTTTATAATAAACAAATGTATTTTACAACAGTTGCACGTTGCGCAACCTGATCGATGTTTTCTTAAACAAATGTAAAAAAATTCAGAGCATATATTTCGCATAAAAACTATTTATAGTTTACTTAACTGTGAAACAAGTTAATTTTTTAGATTACATTTTTTAAGATTTAGATGTATATTTTCGACAAAAGCATTTTTATATTGTTTGTAAAAACATTTATACATCTTTGCATATATAGTTACATAAATATTAATTTTTACTTATCGATTATATCATTTGTAGACATGTTTTTGAGAAATTTTATATTTTTGTTCCACATCGTAAAGATAAATTAAGAAATATTTCAGATTTAATGCAAGTTATTAAAAGAAGATTGTTCTGACGAGGCTGTGGGAATATGTCCGGAAAAGGTCGAGGTTCCCCTGGGCGAGGTCGAGGCTCTACAACCCCTGGAAGAAGGGGTAGGTCTTTTTCCCCTGCATTGAGGCAAGGGGTTCTCGCGGTTGGTAAAGGCTCTAACCCTGGAAGGGGGCGATCTCCGGGAATTAAAGGGCCAGGTTTAGGATCTCCGGGAATTAAAGGGTCAGGTTTAGGATCTCCGGGAATTAAAGGGCCAGGTTTAGGATCCCCCGTAACAAACACTCCTGGAAGGGGACAATGTTCTGATACTCCTGACAGGAGAATTTCCGGAAGAGGACTGAAGGCTGAATCTTCTGAACTTCGAAAACCTGAAAGGGGGTGTAGTTCTGGACCTATAGAATCAGGAACTCCTGGAAGGGGGCGAAGTTCCGGATCTACAGAATCAGAAACTTCTGGAATTGGGCGAAGTGTCATTTCTACAGAATCTGGAACCCCTGGAAAGGGGCGTGGATCGAAACCTCCTGAAAGGGGAACTTCTACCAGGGGACGAGGTTATGAAACTACTGCTAGGGGACGAGGTCAAAAAGATTGGACAGGATCCCCTGGAACAACTAAAAGAGGTTCAACAACTCCAGACACAGCACAAGGTACAATGAGGGGATCAAGGAGAGAAATTGTGATTACTCCCCCTAGAGTAGGCGCCACACCTCCATCTGTTGGTAGAAAAAGAAAACTATCTTCTTCTTCCACCTCGTCAGCTGTTAGTGAGCCTTGTTCCGGAAGTAGAAGAGGAAGAACCGGAAGTAGAAGGAGGAGTTCAACCACAGAAACTACTGCTGAGGCCCAGGTAAAGGGTTAAATTTATGATAAAGGAGGTGAATATTTAAGAAGTAAATCGGCATTATCTTTATTTCGATCCGACCCTCCACAGCTCTGTAGAAAGCTTTAAATTAACTTCAAGTTCCCGGAAATAGAAATAGTGACAGTTCTTATGAAGTAAGAAATAAAAAATGTTACTAATTTTTTTCTAAATACTTCACTTTTTTGGCGGGTCTATTATGTTTAATTAAAATACAAAATATGTTATTTGAAAAAATATATGGTTATATAAGGAACTGAGGGAATAAAGGAAGTTTTTATTTAACTTAAACGCCTTTATAAAAGTATTTTGTTTTAAAGGATTTTGATGCACCGGAACCGAAACTAATACCTAGAACTGAAATTCAAGGTAAATCTTATATTTGACCAAACCATCAAACATCTAAAAATGAAAGGAATAAACTTTCCTTTTCTGAAAATCTGTACTAAGCAAAAAATATTTACTTGAATCATTTTTTTTATCTTCAACTTAAATATTCAAGTTGTTTAACGAAGACAAACAACACAATTCTTTATTTGGTCTTAACTTAGCAATCAATTGTTTGACCCCTGGTACTCCTGTTATTCCAGCAGTTCTGGTCAGCATACAGAATAATCCAATAGAGGTGACAGACACAGGTATTTAATATCTCTTCCCCCACCGGTAAAGCGGAGGAATTGTTTTGCACTCCCCCCTTCAAGGGTAGAGGGGGGGGGGATTGCCCCCCCCCCCAGGGTAGAAAGGTGGATATTTTTGGTTTTCACAAATTATTGTATTTTCCACTTTAAATCCATTTTTTCTTCAATTTAAAACTTAAGCACGAAGGGGTATTTTTGAAATAAGAAAAAAACGATTTTTAACAAAATATATTGCTTGCTACATACAAATTTGATCAAAGTTGCAAGATTTCTTTTACTCTTTTCACGAAACATCTATGTTTTAAAATTTGGGATTTGGCTATACTACCCATCAAAGAAAAAATCAACGGGAAATATATGTTCCCTTTAATATGAAATTGAAAATAATATTTTTTATAGACAATTCTGCTACAGATGTCGAACAAGAAATAATGGATTATGCAAAGGTAAGAATCATTTTTAACTTATTTCTTTTCTTAATTACATTTCAATCTATATTAATCTTTTTTATTTCTTTTATTTCATTTCTTTTTCTTAGATTAATCAAATTTCTTTAATTTTTAAGATGTTTTCTTTTCGGCCATAATGCTAAAAACAATTAAAAACGCAAATTTTTCCCAGAAGGAAGAATTCTTGGAGGACGAAGAAATATCCTTTAAAACCTCCGGGACCCAGGCCTCCGAAACTAAAGATAGAACCTGCGAAACTAAAGATAGGACCCCCGAAACTATAGATAGGACCTCCGAGTCCCAGTGTTGGACCTCCAATACCCTAGACGGGACCTCTGAAACTGAAAACGTTACAAGCAAGATAGATCTAAGCTCCAGGGTTAAATCCCTCAAAAGAAAATCAAGGTAAAAGAATTTTTGTTGTTACATTTAATACAGTCCCAGGGGTAAATATGTTCTGTATAAATTATCCCCCCTCTTCCTGTTTTGCGAAAATGGGGGAAAACGATTCAAATTTAGTGGAAAACATATTTTAAGGAAAACTTATCAAAGGCAATTTTTGAGGCGTGGTACAATTTTATTCGTAATATTTGTTTTGTTCCAAGGAGTTCTGTACTACAAACAGAGGAGCAGGATACTGTAAGGAGTTCTGTACTACAAACAGAGGAGCAGGATACTGTAAGGAGTTCTGTACTACAAACAGAGGAGCAGGATACTGAATCTCTCAAAGAAATTAGTCAAGTAAGATCTCAGTGCACTTTCCAAATTTTTCATGAAGAGAATGAGTTTGAGCTTAAGTAGTCATTTCATTTGATTTTACAAGATTTTACTGAATTTGATTTAAACCAACTAGATTTACCTTTATTTATATCATATTATTATTATCAGATCGAAGGAAAGAGTTCTGCTGAGAAGAGGAGTACACTAGACGACGACGATGTTCAGTGTAAAGTCTGTAGAGAAATTATGACGTCAGCTGTACTGCTCCCTTGCTGTGCAGTTGCAGCTTGTAACATATGTGCCCAGAAGTATTTGACTGAGAATGAGCATGTTTGTCCGCTGTGCAAGGAAGCTAATCAGTCACTAGAAGATAAAATTCCAACTATAGGAGTTACTTTCAAGGTTGCGAAACTCGGAGAACAGGTACTATTAATATCAAGGTTGCTAAACTAGAAGGACAGGTAGAAACAATACAGCTCTAGGAGTTAGAATCAAGATTGCTAAACTAGCAGGACAGGTAGAAACAATACAGCTCTAGGAGTTAGAATCAAGATTGCTAAACTAGAAGGACAGGTACAAATAATGCAGTTCTAGGAGTTAAAATCAAGGTTGCTGAACTAGCAGGACGGGTACAAATAATACAGCTCTAGGAATTAGAATCAGGGTTGCTAAACTAGAAGGACAGGTACAAATAATGCAGTTCTAGGAGTTAAAATCAAGGTTGCTAAACTAGCAGGACAGGTACAAATAATGCAGTTCTAGGAGTTAGAATCAAGGTTGCTGAACTAGCAGGACGGGTACAAATAATACAGCTCTAGGAATTAGAACCAAGTTTGCTAAACTAGAAGGACAGGTACAAATAATACAGCTCTAGGAGTTAGAATCAAGTTTGCTAAACTAGAAGGACAGGTACAAATAATGCAGCTCTAGGAGTTAGAATCAAGTTTGCTAAACTAGCAGGACAGGTACAAATAATACAGCTCTAGGAGTTAGAATCAAGGTTGCTAAACTAGAAGGACAGGTACAAATAATACAGCACTGGGAGTTTGGAGTTATAATCAAAATCTCACTTAACTTAATTTTTTAAAGTTATTTTGTCTTGCAGGAGTCGATTGCTTCCAATGTCGAGGTTAATGGTAGTGTTGAGCTGTCCAACCTGGAGAGGATGGCCTCGAAGTACAAGGATATTATTCATCAATTAACATCAGAAAATAAAGATCTGAAGAAACAGAAGGAGAAGAATGAATCTGCACTGAAGAAATTATCTGATGGTCACAGTCGTACTCAAAGTAAGACTAAATACATATATATACAAGAATATAGATCGCTAATGCAGACTGTAAAGCTGAAAATTTTACAACCCCTTGTACATCATGAACTCGTCATTTATAAAGATCATTGAATACGTTTTACTTCTCGGGGTCAATCTGTAGAGTATTATTACTGATTTTTGTCACTATCACCGTGAAATTTTGTGACGTTTGATTAATAGTAATTTATAGAATTTTTTTGTCAATTTTTTTTTAATGCATAGGGTAAGGTACAGGGCGGTAACAAATGCGGCCTGTGTATAAAAAAAATCTGAAATAGCCTATAACCTTTTTGTGACTAAAGCTACAGATCTAAAATTATATTTTTAAAAAGCCCTTGAAAAATGGATTTAGAAACATGTGTCACAATTTGATATCTGTTTAAAACAAAACAAAAATATTTTTAAATTTTTACCCGTTTTTTTGGCCTTTTTTCAACCTTCCCTAGCGCCCAAACTATTAAAGTTATCGGTCTTATTTTTTTTTCAATGAGCTGGCCTTGAAAAGTTGGTCTATGAATATGCAATTTAACCCTATACCTATTCTTTAAGACCTTTTTCTAAGGGGGGGGGGGCGTGGGACACCCCTCTGGCTATACATTCATGACCCCCCAGCCTTTATAGGGTTAACTGTTGCCCTGAAAGTCGTCACTAAAAAGCGTTCTAAAATTTTTGTTGTTTTGTTTAAATTGGTACATTTTTAAAAGTGATAAATGTCGCCTTTTTTCAGGACCCTTTTAAAAATTAAAATATCCAAAAGAGATTCTTAAAGTGAAAATTTCAAGTCAAAACACACAAACACAGAAGCAGACAAGACAAAGGTGTAAATGAAAAAATAGTACTTTTTTGCGGAGTTTGGCTGGTTTTTCTTCTCAGTTCTTATCTCTTGCTAGATATTCACAGGTTGGGAACTTTGTCTCAGTTGTAAAAAAAATAAGTAACAATTTGCTCAAGCCGACCGATTTCTTTGTTGTACTCTAGACAAGTTAAAGAGAGATCCTGAAATAAAACAAAATTAATGGTTAAAAAAAAATAAAACTAAAATTTCCAAAAAAAATAGGGTTTAAAACGAATTGAAAATGGTAAGTGACGTATTGAAACATCTCATTAAATTTAATAATACCCCCCCCCCCTTCATGACTCCTGAGAAAGAATGTAAAAACTTAGTTAATTTTGATAAAATCATACCGTGATTTTCACTGCTTGTATATAAACAGTCCACATGTTGACACATATAGAATTCGCCAAATTATCGCCATCATCTCAAGAGATTTAATAGTTTTAAAGGTCTTCCAACTTTAATGTGTTCTTTGTGTTAGAGGGGAGTCTGATTGTCATCATTATCACTCACATATCGGTAGCAAGCAGCAACTAATCTTCGTTCTAATCCTTAGAAAATCAACTTTAAACTGGTCTGTCTGCAATATTTGTAAACAAACCCCCATAAATTTGTACAGAGTACAAAGATAATTGCCGCAAACCTTTAAATCCAATGTACTGTTTGTCAGTAGCTAAATTGCCTTTTTCAAATTGAGCTGAAACCCTCCGGTATGGTGAAGACGACATGAGCGATCTATATTCTTGTATATCTATGACTAAATAGAAAAAAAAATAAAGTTAAAAATATGTTGAAGAAAGCAAAGCAAGAAAATCTTGTTGGTTTCTGTGTGCAAAATATCCCTTTTAATTCCGTTGATTTTTATCTAAGGGTAGGCAACGTACAGGGAAGAGGGGGGAAAGCTTATGCTTAGTACTTACAAAAATAACTCAGATCTCATTACCCCCTTATCCACGCTTTTTACCTTCCTACATTAAACCCATGGTAATCTGAAAATAAGAAACTTTATTATTTTAATCTGTAATATATTTTAGTTGAGCTGATAGGAAATAAGAAACTGTTAGAGGAAGTTAAGACTACATCAGCCACCGAGTCAAGTTTATTGAAAGATCAGATTCAAAGTCTGAAGAAAGATAACACAGAGCAGAAGGAGTTGTATGAGAAACAATTAAGGTCAAATGAAGAACAATCCGACGAGATTAAGAAGTTCAAAGAACAGTCTGAAACAGAAGCAGCTGAACATAAGAAGACTGTTGATATGCTTTCAATGAAAATTCAAACTCTCGAGAAGAACTGCGAGGCATATGAAGTTCAAATGGAGAAGGATCAAAGCCAAATTTCACAATTACTTACTAAGGTCAAGAGAAAGATCATTAGTGTTAAAGAAAAGGAAAAGGATGTTCTGAAACGTGTTAAAATCCTTGAATCTGAAAATATTGACCTTAAGAAGACCCAGAATGAGATGGAGGATCTGAAAAGGAAGCAGATTAAAATATTTTTAGACAAGATCAAGCTAACATCTGAGGTAGGATGATTATAGAAATAATTTTAAACCCAAAGTCGAATGTCTGATTCACAGCAGTACCTTTAAAATCTTAATCTAAGCAAAAGTGGGGAAGTTATTGTTGTTCTTTTATCTGGAAAAGTAGAATTCGAAAACTTTCTTCTTTTTAGACTGCATGAGTCCTCAAGTCACTTTCATATAGCCATCATAATTTAAATCATCTATTTTAAATATAAGAGCATCTTCATCTTCAATCAAGTTATTGTACCGTTGTTAATCTGGCATGCAACTTTTTAAGTCTGGACATATTGGAGATTTCATGGATAAGACTTTTCATATACAGGCAAAAAGATTATTAAGAACTTTATCTATTCAAGGAAATTCTTCAATTAAATTACCGATTTATGAAAAATCTTCTCCTCCTGTGAAATGTCCTTTCTATTGAATTTCCTATCTATGTAACGTCTTATCTATTAAATGTCCTGTTTATGAAATGTAAGAAAAGTTCTTTCTACGAAACGTCTTTGCTATGACTTCCTTTTTCTATGAAACGTCCTTTCAAAGGCATGTCTATGAAAAAAGTCAACAGTCGTGTTGTAGTCAAGGATACGTTTTCTTTTAAAATTTATTACCAAAATGTAAATTTCTTTTCAAATCTTTGAAAAGTATGCACCAGGATATTTTTTAAATATTTGAAATCCCGACTGTATTTTATGTTTTTTTTTCTATTTTAAAGAAGTTGTCTGTTGAGAAGACTAAGGTTGCAGATTTAGAAAAGAAGAATGAAACAGTAAGGTAAAAACTTTTCTGGATTTCTTTTTCTCTATTAATGTAAAGTCGGATTTCCTGGATAGCAGGAAAATTAAGACTATTTTTTACCTGGTTTCCGCGGGAAATCATGAAATTTACGCTGGATTTTAACTTATCAATTTCGTTGAGATCTTTTTTCAGACCCTCAGCAATATGTGGAAAATATTAAACTCACTTTTCCTTCATAATCGCAATTTAACATAAATAATACATATGGTAAAATTTATACCTAAAATCCAGCCAGGACATTAAAGTGGTCAGTTGCGGGACAAAAAAAATGGGTTTTAAACAAGTTTTAAGGTATTGAGTTGGGATGCAGAATGAAAAAAAAATGTTTTCACTAGGAAAATATTAAGTTTTTCTACAGGTTGGGATATTCTGGATTAAAAGCGAAGATGGAAGGATTAGAATCTATAGAGTATGACACTGAACTGTACGACAGGTTAGAACTAAAGAAAAGATTTCATAACCCCCAATAACAGAATGAAAATGATACTTTAGCACTCTGTTACCTCCTTTTGATTCTTACAAAATAGTTGTTTCCAGTTATTTACAGTAAAAATTTTGATTGCTTTCTCAAACCTCTCAAGTTTCGCGAAATTAATTTTTTTATTCAATCCCAACTTTTTTTCAGAGTCGGGAATGTTTACGAGGAATTAGAAAAAATAAAGGAAGAGAACCAAAAACTGAAAAATACTTTGGAGAATAATTCAATTGATCCAAAACGAAGTACCCCCAAGGAAATTGATCAATTGGAATCATCATTGAGTCAGCATGAGGCAAAAATTCATCTATTGGAAGGAGAAATTCTCCCGTTAGAGAATAAGAACAAACAGTTGATATCCGTAAACAGTACTTTAAATGCAAATATGGCAGAAAATGAGACAAAAATCAGCAGACTTTTGGAACATAGAGAAGAAACGGTTGAGACCAATGATTATCTGAAAACTAGGTTAGATTCAGGATCAACAGAGCTCAGGAAAGACACCGAAGTGGAAAGAATGAACCTGCTTATTCAGACAAATAATGATCTTGCAGGAAAGGTAGAAGATCTGACCAAGAAAAATAAACAACTTGAAGATGTTGCAAACAATTTAATTAATGATTGTGAGAATTCTGCTGTGATAGATCAGCTGAAAAGTAAAATAATAATCCTAGAGACCAGACTTGAAGTACTCGCAAAGAATGCTAAAGATCCTTTTGCTGAAATTGAGGAGTTGGGAGATAAAAGTATTCTTCTGTCCCATCAACTTCACAAGGTGCGTAGTGGCGAGCAATCTCTACTGGAAACTGAAGCTGGCCCAAGCACAGTCTCCAAGACTAAGGTAGAAAATGAAGGAGAAGATGCAGCAGCTAAAGATGATGACATCGTTGAGATTCCTATTTCATGGAATGAGCTAATGCTGACGAATAATGAGCTAAAAGCCGAACTTTGTCAAAGAAAGATATGGCAAAGAAGTCTAGAGGAAATCAATAAAAAGGTTGAGAAAAAAAATGTTGAATTAGAAGCAGAAATGCTACAGCTAAATTCCAAACTTAGGATCCAAGAGAACAGTCAAGAACAGATAAAAAAGTCTGGAATTGACGGTGAGGCTACAGTTGGAAATATTAGTAATCAGTTGAAACATGAACAAGCCATGTATCTAAAACTTTCTACAAAACACAGAAATCTGTTGAATGACATGAATAAGATAACATCAGAAAACGCAAATCTGTTAGACAATATTGAGAAAATTAGGACGGCTAATTCGGATCTTGAGGCTAAGATCAGAGATAAAGAAACTATGATTTTGGAGCTTGACACTGAGGTTGAACAATTAAAGAGGATAATTAACAAATCCAAAATAGAAGAATTAAATAAGATGACAAATAAGGAGCTAGATGAAGGGAATGAAGAGGGAGCAAGAAGAAAGATATCTGAGCTTGAAGCTGAGATAGTGCAACTCAAGGAAAACATCAGGAATCAAGAATCCTTAATTCATGAAACGAATAAAAGAACTGAAGAGCTAGAGGAACTGAGAAAAGAGAAAAATCTGGTAGTGGAGCTTAGAGCTAAAATCAAGATTCAGGAATCTGAAATTGAGGAAATAAGGAGAGCTAAGGACCAGAATAAAGGTAATGAAGAGCAAGCAAGAAAAAATATATCCGAACTTGAAACTGAGGTGGCACAACTCAGAGCAAAAATTCAGATTCAAGAATTCAAAATGGTCGAAATGAATAAGAGAAGTATGGCGCTAGAGGAAGAGAGTAAAGAACTAGCAAGACTGAAGGCATCGAATCTGGAAAATGAAGTAATGAAACTCAAAGAAAAAATTAAGAATCAAGACTTAGAAATTGAGGAAGTAAATAATAGAGCTAAGGAGCTAGATGAAGAGAATGAAGAGTTGGCAACTAAAACTGGTGTAATGGAGTTTGAAAATGACAAGTTAGCCACCAGAATAAAAGAGCTACAGCAGAAGTTGAATACTGAGGAAAATACCTGTTCTAAACTCCGTCAAAGTGCAACAAAACTTCAAGAAGAATTGAATGAGAATAACAAGCAGCGCATTAAGGAAGTGTCTGCAGATCGAGACCTTCTTCATCGTCTAGAGGAGATGTGCACTCAACTCCGTCAAAACACAACCACACTGCAGGAGGAAATAAACGAGAAGAATAAGCAACTTGCTGAAATGTCAGCTAATCGAGACCGTCTACACCAATCAGAAGAAAACTGTACTCAACTCAGACAAAATACAATTAAACTTCAAGATGAATTAAACGATAAGAACAAGCATATTGAGAAAGCTTCTGCTGACAAAGACCGTTTAGAGAAAGACCATCAGAGGTTAGAGACTGAGAAATCTCTTCTGCAGTCAAGGTTAGATGCTGCAGAATCAAGGTTAAAGAAAGAGAAGAAATCCAGAGAAAATATAAAAGAGCAGATTGATGAAATCGAGCGTCAGTTTGAACATGAGAAAAAAGTTCTTTCCATTGAGGTTGCCCAGCTAAAGCTGAATATTGAAACTAAAGATCAGACTGTTAAAAAGGAAATTGTACGTAGTAGCAGATTAAAAGAACAACTGAGTCGGAATGATTCAGCACTACAGGACGCGGAGAAACGAATTTCAGAAAAAGATATTTTAATCAAGAAGCTTGAAGAGAAAATAGAGTCCGTGAATACCAGATTAGCGAATCTTGAGTCAGTAAAGCTGGCCAAACCCGAGACTCAGGCTAAGGAAGTTCAAACACCTCATTGTTCTGAGACAGTTTCAGAAGCTTCTGCCAGACAATTAGGAGACGGAGGGGAAACTATAGAAGCAAAGGAAACTAGGGGAACAGAACAAGAAGAAGGATCTAAGGAAACGAGGGAAGGAGTAATGAAGAGAAAGCTTGATGAAGACTTGGAAGAGGAAAATAAGAAATTAAGGAAAGAAGTGAAACGCCTTCGGTAAAACATTTTTTATAATTTCTTTATTTTTATATTAGTATTTAGAATTGAGTACATTCACAGATATTCAATACTTTATTTTTAGGCGCACAGTGCATGCTTTGACAGTTATTGATGAAGATGAAGAGGAACACAATGATGTTAAAACGGAGGTGAAGTTTGAGCCTGAGCTAAAAGTTGATCTGTTATTGATCCAGGAGATGGAGAACATCCAGGAATATGATAATCTTCCATTGCCTGATCAGGATCAGGACCAGCTTGGAATCCTCGAATCCCTGGAACCTGGACACTGGAATCCTGAAGACCCTACTGGCCCTGAAATCGTTGCTGGTTCTGAAACAGCTGCTGGATCAGATGCCGTTGGTGGACAGGAAGTTATTGCCGAACTGGAAGCTGCTGTCGAACCGGAAGCTGCTGTCGAACCGGAAGTTGCTGTCGAACCGGAAGCTCCAGTCGAACCGCAAGCTGCTGTCGAACCAGAAGCTGTTTCCGGACCGGCAGCAGTAGAAGACTCTATAGAAATTACAACTAACAAGTTCTCTGTAGATTTACAAAACCAATTTAAGGCGTTAGATCCCAAATGCAAGGAGAATTGTATTAGGACAAGTCCTGATTGTGCTGCTTGTAGGAAATTTATCCGGTCATCTAAAAGAAAACTAATCAAAGCAAGTCCTAGTCTAGCTGTGGAGACACAATTACCTATACTATCTGTTCACAAGGCCATAAACATGGCTTTGATGGCACATTTTGGATTTTTGCCTAATTCAACAATACACTGATGGACAGATTTACACATCTAATTGTTGTTCTTTTTTTTAACAAAAGTTTTTTTGTCAAATACTTACTTTTACTAGTACTTGATTAAAATTAGTTTTAAACAGTTGGATTTCATTTGGATATTTTTAAACATGAAAGTAAACTCTTCACGTTAAAATGTCAATTTTTTAGTAGTGTAGTCTTCCATACTTGCTGTTGCATTTATTGCTTAACATGTGATACAGTTATATTTTGCTAAAACAAACATTTTTTTACGGAAGACATAAGGGTGCATGAAAATTAGATATGTGATAATGTTGAATTTAATCGAATCATGATATTCGACGCATTTACCAATATTTTTTTAATGTAGATATTGTGTGCTCTTAATTTGTATCCGGTCTTCAAATATTGTTTAGTAGCAAAAAAACATAAAATTTCCAGTGATTAAACAAAAGAATTTAAGGAATCTCATTCAGATATTGTTCTCATTTTCATTTAGTTTTTTTTAAATTTTGTTCGTTCTTCCAAGCTTGCATTTGTTTTTAAGCAGTAAACAATACAGTTGTTGTTAGAAGGTGAAAATCTAATTTTCTGATGTGTAATCAAACAAAATCTATTTGGTTTTACAAGTCATTGATTAAACTAGGAGAGGGTTTGCATTCAGCTGAATTTCATCTTTTTATTTTTTTTAAACAAGTTTTTCCTTCGTTGTGCTTATCTTTAACATTGTTTGATTATTCAAATACTTTGCGCCATGCACTTGGTGATTTTTTGGAGTTCACTTCTTTTTTGATAATACAATTAATTTCATTAATACAGAATTCTCTAGTATAATATGTTTTATTTGCTTTAATTGTTTGAACAAAAGGAGAAGAACATTTTTGTATACTGTTACTGTTTACTGCTTTATACCGAAAATTATACAATTTCCTACTTTCAGATATTTACAAATATATAAAGATGGAAAGATTGAAATTAACATTAAATAGTGCAGAGTCGAAAGATGTATTCAGAGCTCTTATGGAACTAAGGTCAGTTTATTTGATTTGCTTTTTTATTTAGACTTTTGTGTAAATGAATCGCTAACCCTATTCCGGCTGGGCTATTTTTGCATAATCCCTATGATTTTGCCTTAAAGTTGAGATAGTGTGATACATGTCATCAGTCCAACTTTCAAGACTTGCTCATTAAAAAAATAGACTTAACTTTAATTGTTAGGGTGCAAGGGAGGATTTAAACGTTAAAAAAGTATGTCACAAAAAAGTTCACAAATATCAATTTTTAATTTTAAAAAAACATGTGACGGACAAGTTTTTCATCAATTTTTCAAGGGTTTTTCAAAAATAAAATTTTAAGCTTATTTGATAAAAAAAGTTATTGTGCAATTTTATTTTTTTAAACACCGATCCGTCTAACCCGCCTTACTAACCAGATGCAGTTGACAGAACCATTGGGATAATTCATAAAACTTAAATTCTTTCCAGCTAAGTGTGTGTAGAAGGTAACGTCGTGTTTCTATCTTGTAAAGTGTTAATTTCTGTCATTTGGATTTATCATGTCTAATTGTGAATCTGTAAATTGGAGTGCTCTGTATGATTGAAATTACAGAACCATTAAGATAATTCATAAAAGTTTAATGTATTCCAGCTAAGTGCAGGGCACATTATTGATTAGATAAAAGCTTGAAGGGTACTGTTGTAAATCGTACATATCCTTTCTAAATAGCTGGTCACTTAAAATACCGCGTCATATTTTCAACTCATGGTTGTTTAGAAACCAGTGTAAACGAGGTGGGGTTGGTCCCCTTGTACAAGGCAAACTTCTGGACCACCTACTGCCTCTGCTCAATAGGACAAATACTAAAATAATAGATCTCAGGTAGATTGTATAACATGTTGTAATTAATAAAGAATATTAGGAGATACAAAAATATAGGTTTTTTTCGTCCAATATAATTTTGAGAGCAATGCAAGTTTAGTCAACCCCCGTAGAAGTAGGACGCCTCTAGAAGTCTGAGTTTATTTTAAAGGGATTGACCGGCATTGTATGGTAGTTGAACTGAGAATGTTTTATTGTGTAGAAATTTTTTAAGATTCATTTGAGGCATATAATACGTTTTTGTGATGTATAATTACTGAGTTTGAGTGCAAAGTCGATTGGCTGGTTACGTTTTGAGAAGCGATTTGTTTTAAATTAGTAAATAACGACGACAAAAAAATGTGAAAAAATTCTACAGTAAATTGATTATATGTTTAGGGACATATTATTCAATTGAATTTTCTCAATAAATCAATGTTGGAGTCGATTATTTCTTTTTCATCATTATGTTGAATTTCTTATTCTTTATGAATTTGTTCGCAGATTTCTTCAAATTCTTTAAATGTCGCACGGTGGGGTATTGTTGGGGGGAGGGGGGGGTGATTGTTTGTCTCAATACTCCTATTAAAATGCATTTGTTTTTAGAATGGACGAAATGAATAAATTCTGATAATCTTTTCATTTACAAACATTGTATGAATTGAGCTTGCATTGATTTATAATGATTTAAATTTATAATTACTTTTCCCGTTCATATATTTATCCTTTTTTGGATCCTGTAATCCCGCAATATATTTAGATGTCGTCTTTGTCACAGCGAGTTTTTCGGAAGAAAAACATGCATTTTATGGCAAAAGCCCAAGAAACCTAAATATATAAATAGATTCCTTGATTTAATCAGAGTAGCGTGTTGAAAAATTCTATTTAAAGAGTTTTCAATGAAATAGTGGCTTTTCTGTCGAAATTCTTAATTAAAACATAACATTTAAACAATAAAAGGTATCTCTCAAAAAAAGCTTTATTTAGCTGGACCCCCCCCCCTGAATACCCCACTGTGTATCGTCTTTCCAATAAAAATAGTTAATTTTAATTTTCTCAACCTGTTCCTAAACAACTAATTACTGTAGAATATTTCCTACATTTTTCGTCGTTGAAATTAAATAATTTTTTAAAAACCGATTTTCAAAATCATCCCTTAAAAATGAACAATCTATGAGGATTTTAAAGTTTGAATTTGCGCTCTTGCTGAACAAATATGCACCGTAAAAACCTCTCATATGTCTCAAATGATTCCGAAAAGTTTCTCCACAATACTACATTCTCAGTTCAACTACCATACAATATTCATTGCCATTCACTCCGTTTAAGGGCGTAAGAATTGTTATAATTCTGGGTAGATTTAAATTTCAGAAAGCTTAACTGACATTGTGTTGCTAACTTTTTAAAACACACTTCCAACCGTAAAGGTGGTGTGGTTTGATTAGAGCTTAACCTTGACTTCTAAGAGCGGATGGTTGATCATTTTATTTATTTATTATATATCTCTAGTTTGAGTATAATAGCAAACCTACTGCTTGATGGAGGAGCCAGAACACAATTCAGGTAAATAAAACCTAAAGATCTTGATCCATTAAATCCAATTTTTTTCCTTTTCCCTTCATCCATTGGATCTCCAATTTTCTGGCTCTCTGGATCAGGATCCATTGGATCGCCAATTTTCTGGCTCTCTGGATCAGGATCCATTGGATCGCCAATACTAACTGGCGTCCTGGATCTGGATCCATTGTATCTACAGTAATACCTGGCTCCATGGGTCCGGATTCATTGTATATACAGTACTCCCTAGCTCCCTGGATCTGGATCCATTGGATCTATTCTATAATACTTCCTGTCCACAATTCTACTTGGCTACCTGGATCCGCATCCATTGGATCCACAATACTACCTGGCTTCCTGGATCTGGATCCATTAGATCTATAACACTCCTTGGCTCCCTGGATCTGGATCCATAATTTTCATTAATCAATAAATTTGAAAAGTTAAAAGGACTCTGAACATAATATCGCGAGACATGAGATAAATGACTTAGCTAAATATGACTCAAACTGTTCGCAAGACATTACATGACCCCAATGAAGGTTTATGTCAAAATAAAATCTTTTAAAACTTTTATTTTAAAAACATATTTGTTTCATTGTTTAGAACTGGGGGAGGAGTTACTAAGCTTGTGAAGATTATCAACAATATTGAAGAACCAGACATACTCAGGAATACAAGAACAAATATATTTTCAAATTCCCATTTCTAGAGAATAAGAAGGGTTTTGTTTTAGCATGCTCTGCTAACATCAACTTAAAAAAACCCAAAATATTCATGCTAAACCATAAACTTAATCTCAGTTTAGATCTTATTTTCTTTTTATAAAACTTGTATGCTCTAGGAGAGGGTTTAGAGCTGTAGCTAACGCTAGTTTGGATCCTAAACTTTGTAGATTATTCCATCAGAATGGATTAGCTTCAACTCTTGGTAAATAAGGCCAAGTACTAGTTATTTTTGTTGCAAACTTTGACATATCAAACATTTATAGGGAATGTAAGCGTAATTTTAAGTGACCTTTCAAGGCTTGACACCTTAATCTGATCATTAATGTAGAAGATATTTTTGTATTTCTAGATTTAAAAATATTGAATTCTGATTATCCTATGTTTTCCTGCAGCAGAAATGCGCCAATCACTTGTATAGGGTTCCCAAAGTTTAAATGTATTAGTTTTCAACATTAGAAACATTGACATTTAAAAAAACTTGATTAGAAACTGCTTTTAAGAATATTGTTGTGAATCAGTAATCAGTAATGACTTGGGCCTCAATGGTGTCAGATTTTGGCCATGGTTTTATTGAATCCATTATAGACAGGCGCATATAAAAGGATTTTAGCCAGGGGGGGCAAGATTTTTTTTTGCCCCCCCCCCCCCCCCCCCCCCGAAATAGTTTTATTCAAAAATTCAATTTTCACCAACATCAAACACACTAAATTTTTGGGTTTTACTAACCTTAAAGAGTTTAAAAATAATTTATTTGCTCGAAAAATTAACTTTAACTTTTTAACTTTAATGTTATCCCTTAACTCCATCACAGCACTTGCACTTTAGTGAGGGGGGGCGAAAGTTTATTTTCAAGGGTTTATGGGGGGGAGGTTACAATAGGGGACTAGCCCCTCCGTGTCGAACATTTTTGAAAATGAAAGTGCTGTTTTAAGGGGTTAAAGTTGAACAAAAAAACAAATTAATTTTGAAGGTCTGGCTCCGTGCTCAATAAATACCATTTCTTATTATATCCAATTGCTTATTGATTAAACAAATTTAACTTCCAATAACTGTTCCGTGAAATGACCACCATGAGTTATCTCGTTAAACGTTAAAAAATTCTTTTATTCTAGTTTCTTTTTATGTATTTCTTAGTTTCTGTTAGTCCCTGGATTAGTCCTATTCACTGTGTGTATTAAATCCCATTTTTGTAATTTTTTTGGTCTGTAAAAGTCCTAATAGTCCGATAAAATCCTTATTATTTCTTTAAATTGTTCCATATTTATATGCAGGTTCTGTAACCTTAAATGTATGAATTGTAATCCCCATAAAAAGTAACAGATTTATAGTTTTTTTGTGAGAGGATGAATCAAGTATTCCTGACTTTCTTTAAGTTGAAAAAGAGACAATAGTTAAAAACTCGAGTAGCAATGATGCGCGAAGCGCCAAAGAAAGATTTTGGTATTAAGATTTGATAAAAGATGGTCCACATTCATGACCGTGATACAGTCATATGAGGGGGGCCAGAGGGGGGGGACATCGGGTTCGCCCCCCCCCCAAGTTGCGCCACTGCAGCCAACTAAATCATTAATCACAGCATCATTAAAAAATTAAATTTCACTAAAAAACGAAATTTCCTTAAAATATTTAGATAGATATTACCCCATCTTCAAATTCATGCCAAATCATTTATGCTTCAATTTTCTAGGATTTGCTTGCACAAACATTTCAATGATTTTCTCAGTAGAGAGCTCAGACAGCCTTGTAGGGTGCAAGTAAGGCCATGAGTGCAAGGTCGTTAAGTCTACCCTCCGTCGTAGTAAGGGTTTCCAGTAAAAAGGAAAAAAACTTTCGCGAAAATTTCGCATTATTTTTATAGCGAAAAAAAAATGCGAAAATGTGAAGACAGAAATTTATAAAGATAGCTAGTGAAATCAAATTCTCTTAATAAAACATTTATTAAAATGAAGGAAAAGAAATTATTTTTATTAAAACTTCAAATATTGAGCTATCAGAACATAGAATTCCACAAGTTCTTTTGAGCAATTAATTGTTTCAGCTATAAAACTCGTGGTTTTCACAAACTATTTGAATTTTCGCAAAATTTCGCATTGTTTTTGCTTCATTTATTTTTATCAAAAAATGCGAAATTTTGCGAAAAGATTTGCGAAATGTGACCGAAAATTTTTGCATTTTTTCGCGAAACATTTTGTTTGCTGAAAACCCTAGTCATAGTACATCTTATTTACTAAAGTATTCTCTTCAGAAGACTAAAAATTTTCTCTCCTCATTCGACATTATTGGAAACGTACCACTAGCTGAATAAGCTTCCTGGTTTCAGGTAAAATTTTGTATTTTGTATTTGTAGGGAATTTAGACAAACCCTTAGTCTTTGTCATTGTCATGTGTTACTTTTTAAACGTAGTTTCCTTTTCCAGGGGGGGGGTGGCAAGAGGACTTCTGTCCCCCCCTGTATATGCGCCTGATTATAGACTATGGTTTAGTTTTGCAGAATCTTCTGCCTTGCATTAAGAATTTTGATGTTCAGACAGACTAAGGTTGGGAAATGGATTCTGATCATGCTACAATGTTCTTGGAGATAAGGGTAAAGATTAGAAAAGTAGAGCAGGTTCAAACATCACATAACGATCAGCTTAGAAATGGGATTGTTACAAGAGAGTCCTGGATAAACAGTTAAAGAGTCAGGGGGGTTTTGAGGAACTAACATTAGATGAACAGGAGATGAAAGGCAGAATGTGAGCTGCTGGCATGTTCTTAACATCCCCAATCTATAACACAGGAATAAAGAAAAAGCGGTTGCCTAAGGATCTAGAGTAGTTGGAACAAAAATGTCAGTGTAGGCAGGAGAATTTACAACTCACCAGACAGAAAATTAAGATCATCTGAAAAAAAATCCAATCCTATGGAAACGGACTGCTTATGTAGCCGCTTAACACTGGGCTATACTGTTGTAGTTAACGGTGACAAGAAGTAAGGACAGAGAATAGATTCAATACCTTTTTTGTGACCAATTCCGAACGTCCAGTCTTAATAAGTCTTATGTCTTATGTCTTATCTTTGCATGGAGAGTCACTTAAAATTACGTTTACAGTCCTTTAAACCTTTTGGATATTTTTCAACAAAATTCTTTTTAGGTAAACGACTCCAGTGCAGTAGTGATGAGAACACATTGATAGTTCTGGTTAGATGTGTTAGAATAGTAGCCGACTCAGTACAGTACAGGTATTCACTATACAATAGTACAGTTTAGGCCAGTAGCAGACTCAGTACGTACAGGTATTCAATACACAACAGTACAGTACACGCCAATAGGAGACTCAGTACAGTACAGGTATTTATTACACAACCGTAGAGTACATGCCAGTAGCCGACTCAGTACGGTACAGGTATTCTTTACAGGACAGGATAGTACATGCCAGTAGCAGACTCAGAACAGTACAGGTATTCTCTACAGAACAGTAAAGTACAGGTATTCATTACAGAATAGTACAGTACACGCCAATAGGAGACTCAGTACAGTACAGATATTTATCACACAACAGTACAGTACATGCCAGTAGCCGACTCAGTACGGTAAGGTATTCTTTACAGGACAGGATAGTACATGCCAGTAACAGACTCAGTACAGTACAGGTATCTATTACAGAACAGAGTACATGCCATTAGGAGACTCAGTACAGTACAGGTTTTCTTTACAGAACAGTATAGTACAGGTATTCATTACAGAACATTACAGTACATGCCAGTAGCAGACTCAGTACAGTACAGGTATTCATTACAGAACAGCGTAGTACATGCCAGTAGCAGACTCAGTACAGTACAAGTATTTATTACAGAACAGTACAGTTCATGCCAGTAGCAGACTCAGTACAGTACAGGTATTCATTACAGAACAGTACAGTACATACCAGTAGGAGACTCAGTACAGTACAGGTATTCTTTACAGGACAGTATAGTACAGGTATTCAATACAGAACAGTACAGTACATGCCAGTAGGAGACTCAGCACAGAACATGTATTTATTACAGAACAGTACAGTACACGCCAGTAGGAGACTCAGTACACAGGTATTCATTACAGAACTACAGTACAGAGCCGTAGGAATCATGATTGGTATTAAATAGGGGCTAAGAGTACTGGTAATTATTACAAAACAGAAAAGTACAGAACAGTTGGAGACATTAAAGGTCTATATAGAATACAGAACGACAGTGCAGTACAGCTATTAGTTTAGGACAAGACAACAGATATTGAGGACATGACAAGTCAGTACAACAGGTATTGAGTACAGGACAGGACAACACGTTTTGAGGACAAGAAAATAGGTATTGAGGGACAGGACAGGACTGAAGATTACTGAACTGGTTTGGTTACTATAAAAGTTTGATGAAAATGATCTAATTTATAAATCAAATGTATTATTTACATTTCCATATCATAATAATAACAAAGATAAAAATAATACTAAACTTGTCTAGAACCTGGTTGTTTGAGGAGAATATCTATGAAAATAATAAACTTTTCTAGAACCTGGTTGTTTGAGGAGAATATCTATGAAAAACTGGGATTATTAATGCTGGATCAAGGTGCATTTTCCTACAGTAAATATATATTTACTTTGTTTACATTTTTCAACAGTAAATATGTGAACAGTGTTTACATTTTTCTACACTAAATATTTTAACTTTGTTTACATTTTTTACAGTAGATATATAATATTTTAACTTTCTTTACATTTTTACAGTAGATATATAATGTTTGTTTACATTTTCTACAGTAGATATATAATAATTGTTTACATTTTTCTTCAGTAGATATATTAACTCTGTTTACATTTTTTACAGTAGATATATATATTTTAACTTTCTTTACATTTTTTTCAGTAGATATATAATGTTTGTTTACATTTTTTCTACAGTAGATTTATTAACTCTGTTTGCACTTTTTGCAGTATTTTTTTTGGCGTCAGTTTAAAGTTAAAGCTTTGCTAGTGAGAATGTGTGGGTCATAGAAGGAAAAAGTTCCACTATCCTGTCTTTATTATTAACCCGTTATTTTACTAACTTTTTTACTTCAATTTAATTTACGCTTTGATACCAATTTATTGGCGAAAATCAATGAAAAAAGTTGAACGATTTTTTTAAAAATTACTTTGGAGACTAATTTATTATTTTCCCCCAACGAATTAAAGTTCGCTCCCCCCCCCCCCCC